TCCCCCTCCTCCTGTTCCTCCTCCTCCTCATCCTCATGCTCCTCTTCCTCCTCCTCCTCCTCATCCTCCTCTTCCTCCTCATCATCCTCATCCTCCTCCTCATTCTCAATCTCCGTCTCCTCGTCCGTATCCACCTTCTCCTCCTCCTCATCCTCCTTCTCCTCGTCCTCATCCTCCTCCTCGTACCGCTCCTCCTCCTCCACCTCATCATCATCCTCATCCTCCTCCTCCTCCTCATCCTCCTCCTCCTCCTCCTCTTCAGCATCATCATCATCAACATCATCATCATCATCATCATCATCAGCAGCAGCAGCATCATCATCATCATCAGCATCAGCATCAGCATCAGCATCATCATCATCAGCAGCATCAGCATCATCATCATCATCATCGGCAGCATCATCATCATCAGAATCATCATCATCATCATCATCATCAGCAGCATCAACCTCATCATCAACCTCCTTATCATAAGCATAAGCATCATGATCATCATCAGCAGCAGGAGCCGCAGCAGCAGCAGCATCACCAGCATCATCATCAGCATCAAAATCATCATGATCATCAGCATCATCATTATCATCAGCATCAACATCAGCATCAGCAGCATCAGCATCAGCAGCATCATCCTCATCAGCAGCAGCATCAGCATCAGCATCAGCATCAGCATCAGCATCATCATCATCATCATCATCATCATCATCATCATCAGCATCAGCATCATCATCATCATCATCATCATCATCATCATCATCATCATCATCATCATCATCATCATCATCGATATCATCACCATCGTCATCATCATCACCATCACCATCAGCATCAGCATCAGCATCAGCATCATCATCACCATCATCAGCATCGTCATCAGCCGCAGCAGCATCGTCATCATCTTCATCAGCATCATCATAATCAGCAGGAACATCATCCTCATTATCATCATCATCACCATCATCATCATCATCAGCATCATCATCATAATCATCATCATCATCATCATCATCATCACAAGCAGCATCAGCAACAGCAACAGCATCAGCCTCAGCATCAACAGCATCAGCATCAGCAGCATCAGAGCATCATCGTCGTCATCATCAGCATCACCACCACCACCATCATCACCACCCGCACCATTAACCACCGTGGACATCGCGTCAGCAGCATCATCCTCGTCAATACCATCAGCATCATCATGATCGTCACCGCCATCATCATCATCAGCATTATCATAAGCATCATCATCATCATCATCATCAGCATTGTCATCATCATGATCATCATCATGCTCATCATCGTCAGCATCATCGTCAGATTCATCATCATCATCAGCCGCATAATCATGATGATCCTCATCGTCATCATCATCAGCATCATCATCAGATTCATCATCAGCATCAGCAGCATCATCATCATCATCATCGTCAGCATCGTCCTACACATCGATATCATCATCAGCAACAGCAGCCGCAGCAGCATCATCATCATCGCCATCGTCATCACCATCATCGTCATCCTCAGCCTCATCATCATCACCACCATCATCAGCACCCTCATCATCCTCATCATCATCATCCTCATTATCATCAAGATCGTCAGCGTCATCATCATCCTCAGCATTACCATCATCTGCATCATCAGTAGCAGTAGCCGAATCATCACAATCATCAGCAGCAGCATCATCATCATCATCAGCCTCATCATCATCATCATCCGCATCATAATCATCAGAATCAACATCACCATCACCATCCCATTAGCGTAAGCAGCATTCTTATCCGCATCAGCAACATAATTAGACAAATCACCGCCATCATCATATTAGTCACAATCCGCATCATCATCAGCAGCAGCACCAACAGCAACATCATCAGCATAAGCATTATCATCAGCAGCATCATCATCAGCAGCATCATCATGAGCATCAAAGAGCATCATCGCCACTACCATCACAATCAGTACAATCAGTAGCCTCAACATACGCGTCATCGGTATTCGCATCAGCATTACAGTCATCATAATCCTCAGCATCATCATCGTCATCGTCATCATCACCAGCATCCTCATCATCAGCATCACCATCATCATCATCCTCATCATCATCCTCATCATCATCATCAGCATCATCTTCATCATCATGATCATCGTCATCAGCATCATCATCAGCATCATCATCGTCGGCATCGGCAGTGCCGTCATCATCAGCATCATCATCAGCGTCAGCAGCAGCAGTAGCCGAATCATCACCAGCAGCATCATCACCATAATCATGCCATCAGCATCTGCAGCATCCTTATCTGCAGAAGCAGCATCATTAGATATACCATCACCATAATCATATCAGTCACCATCCGCGTCATCATCATCAGCAGCAGCATTAGCACCAACAGCAACATCATCAGCATAACCACCAGCATGATCAGCATCATCACCACCACCAGCATCACCAGTATCATCGACAGCATCATCACCAGCATCGTGAGCATCATAATCAGCATCATCACCAGCATTATCATCGCAATCATCATCGTCCGCATCATCAGGATCATCATCTGCATCATCAGCATCATCAGAATTAACCATCATCATCAGCATCATCATCCTCATCATCATTGTGATCGCCATCATCAGCAGCAGCATCATCGTCATCATCAGCAGCAGCATCATCGTCATCATCACCATCAGTATCAAAGTCAGCATCATCACAAGCATTATCATCACGATCATCGGTGTCGTCATCATCAGGATAATCATCAGCATCATCAGCATCATCGTCACCATAATCAGCATGATCATCGTCATCGTCATTGCGATCACCATCATCAGCAGCAGCATCATCGTCATCAGCACCATCATCAGAATCGTCATCATCATCAGCTTTGTAGTCATCATCATCACCATCACCGTCACTACCATCATCATCATCATCATCATCATCATCATCATCATCATCATCATCATCGTCATCGTCATCGTCATCGTCATCGTCATCGTCATCGTCATCACCATTATCACAATCAGCAGCAGCAGCAGCATCATCATCATCAACATCATCATCATCATCATCATCATCATCATCATCATCATCATCATCATCATCATCATCATCATCATCATCATCATCATCATCATCCGCCTCCTCCTCCTCCTCCTCCTCCTGCTGCTCCTCCTGCTCCTCCACCCCTTCTCTCTCGTCATCCACCCCCCAGGTCCCTCCGCCTCCTACTCATCATCCTTTTCCCTGCCCCCTCCACATTCGCCCCCTCATCGACCGTCTCCTCTCCTCCCTCCCCCTTCTCTCCTCCCCTCGATCCCATCTCCCCTCGCCCCTTCTTTCGAGGGGAAACAGACAGCTACCGATACCGCCACTCCCCGGACCTCTCCCGGGGTGCGTTCGGACCATGATTTCGAGGCGACTTCGGCCGTGGCGGCCGCGGTATCCGTACCCAGACATGGGCGCCCTGATTTTTTCAATACGGGGTCCCTGGGAAACCCCGACCCTTTTCCCGGGACCGGCTTTTCGTCCTGAGTCGTTGTTTGACGGTCCCGAGGCCCGGCGAGGGCCCCCCGACGCCGAAATTTGCTAAAAACCGGCCGTCCTGACGCGATCATGTCTGGGTATAGGTTCCTCCTCTGATCTCCCAGGCGGTGGGCGTCTCGCCCAGGCATAAAGCAAAACAAGCAAGCAACAAATTCGCCGGCCCAACGGGCCAGGGCGTGCTAAGATCTCCGGTACCTGGTTAACAGTATTTCTAGTTCGCGCGCGCGGGGCGGCCCCTGGGGGTCCCCGGACGAAAAGTACCCCGGCAAGGTCCCGGCAAGTCCCCGGCAAGGTCCCGGCAAGGTCGGGCCAGAGATGCCGGAGCCCTGTTACAGGGCCCCAGGACGGGCCAAGAGGTCCCCAAGAAGCCTCCAAGACGGTCCAAGAGGGCCCCGAGACGGCCAAAGATCGCCCGAAGACGCCCAACAGGGCCCCAAGACAGCCCAAGAGGCCTCCAAGACGCCCCAAGGGCCTTCCAAGAGGCCTCCGAAGAGGGCCCCAAGAGGCCAAAATCGTTGATTTTCATTGTTTTTTCGATGTTTTTTGCGTTCTGGCTTTTTCGGCTTCCGGACGCTCCAAGACGGCCCAAGAGGCCCCCAAGACCGCTCCAAGACGGCCCACGAGGCTCCCAAGACGGCCCCGGAACGGCCCAGGAGGGCCCCCAAGACGGCCCAAGTGCCGCCCAAGACGGACCAAGAGGCCCCAAGACGGGCCCAAGAGGGGCTGAAGAGGGGAACCGAGAACTGAAAAATCGAGCCCTCCGCCCCAGAAGGCGCCCAGGAGGCCCCAAAAAGGCCCCAAGAGGCCCCCAAGAGGCCCCCAAGACGCCCCAAGAGGCGCCCAAGAGGCCCAAAAGAGGCCCCAAGAGGCCCCAAAACGGCCCCCAAGAGGCCCCAAAACTCGGCTAGCCCACAACGGTGCGACAATATGGGCCGGCGGAATGAGCGAAGCGATTAATAAACAAACGCCGCCGACGCAGGCTGCCAGGCTCTGGTGGCCCGCATCCCGGGGACGGACGGTGCGGCGCCGTGCTGGGGGGTGTAGCTCTGAGCTCCTCCTCCTCCTCCTCCTTCTCCTCCTCCTCCTCCTCCTCCTCCTCCTCCTCCCTCCTCCTCCCCTCCTCCTCTCCCCTCCCTCCTCCCTCTCCTCCTCCCTCCTCCCCCCTCCTCCTCCTCCTCCTCCTCCTCCCTCCTCCTCCCTCCCTCCTCCTCCTCCTCCTCCTCCTCCTCCTCCTCCTCCCCCCTCCTCCTCCTCTCTCCTCCTCCTCCTCCTCCTCCTCCTCCTCCTCCTCCTCTCTCCTCCTCTCCCTCCTCCTCCTCCTCCTCCTCCTCCTCCTCCTCCTCCTCCTCCCTCCTCCTCCTCCTCCTCCATCCTCCTCCTCCCCCGCCCCCCAGCTGGCTCCAACCTCGTGCCGTCTCCGCCCGCCAGTCGACGGGCGCCCGTGCCGCGCACGAAAACC